GGACGAGCTGTGTCGGCCGCACGGCGCCCTTGTTGCCATGGCGCCCTGTGCGGCCGCACTGCTCGCACACCCCTAAGGCCGGCCCTGCCGCTCACGCTTCCTTTACTACCTAAATCCAGTCATTTTTGTGTTTTTCGGATACAGTAGGAAAGAGTTAAAATTTATCAGGCTTATATTTCGGTTTGTGACCCCCGTTATGGAGATTTGCATTCACTTCCTGTGCCAGTGGACACAACAGGAAGTGAAAAGAGATTCTTCCAAAGTGAAGAGAAATCCCCACTTAGAAAGCTGTAACAAAACAGACGCCCTGATTGGAGAATATCCTCCTGTTCTGGTGACAACTACATCGTGTTGGATTTCTCATCACTCTGTGGTCATAAGGAGTGAATCTACCCAGCGGGGACACAGACCGCAGGAAAAAACGTCCCCTATAATAAAAAATAAAAGATTTTGGCTTTAAATATACTTGTAATGCATGTACTCTGTATACAAGTTTCTACACATGTGCAGCTCAGTGTACATTGGATGAACTCCCATGCATAGGTCATCCTCCACCAGCCAATGAAGAAGCAGGTTGGCATTGGCAAAGGAGTGAGGGGAGGGGAGATAAGTTCTGCTTTCAGGGCCCACTCATAACATATCCAGTGCGTTCCGGCGCGGTGGGTCACAAAGATCAGGCTGGGGTGGGAAGGGGCGTGGCGCCGCCATTCACGTCAATGGCATTGCATGCACCCCACCAGCCTGCAGTGCGATCGCCCGCACAGAACGCAGGGACAGGAATGCCCTCCGTTTCGATGCGATGGGAAGAAATGCTGGAAGCACTATTTGTTCAGATCGCACTGCACTGAAACGGAGGGCATTCCTGTACTTCGCGTTCCAGTCAGAGCGATCGCCTTGCAGGTGGGTGGGGTGCATGCAATGCCATTGACGTGAATGACACCGCCACGCCGCCTCCCACCCCAGAACGCGGCCTGGCCTGATCTATGCGATCCAGTGCATTCCAGGCTTGGACCGAGCTCGAACTGCACTGGATATGGTGTGACTGTGTCCTCAAGATGATCTAACATCACAGTACACACTATTATTTTAGACATCACATTGTAATAGTGACACAGACAGTCGTTATCTTTGACAATCCAATACAAGATTACTTGAGAAATCTCCTTTCGTGATTGTGAGTCTGCTGGCCATCACTTTCATCAACTTCCTGGATTCCCGGCATTCTTTGTGGCTTCTCCTCTGCTCGTTCCTTTGGTTTACTTTCAATTTCTAAGGACTACCTATCCCTTGGTACCTTGCTGCCTGCAAGCAGTGATGATGTCACATCCTGTACCGACTCCTCCTCTTCAGCGCCTCTGTAGTGTAGGCAGCAGGCTCTGTGAAATAGGTGACACAGGGCATGGTGACTATGTGTCACTGCATTAAAGGAAGTAAATCCTGTGGGATTCTTCACAAAGTAAGTTCTCAATCTTCAAGATCGCTCTGATGAGTAGGATTAGGCTAGAAATAATTGACATTCAATGCTGAAATGAATATGTTTGATGACAGGTACACTTTACAGTGGAATTAAACTCACCAATGTAATTGTTTCCCCCAAAAAAAACCAAGTTAGGGCCCTTTCACAGCGCTGGTCCATTTACATGTGACTTACATCGGGCATTCAATCGGGTCCAATTAAAGAACTTACTGGCGGACCCAATCGGATGCCCAATGTAAGTCTATGGGCGGCCATGTGAAAATGAACCAGCGTCTGTTTACATCCAGTTGCCCCCCCCCTGTCTCCGGCCATGTCCGGGAAAACAAACGGATCAGAGACCCACCGGACCTGATCGTGCCGGTTTGGAGGTAATCTGATGTAAACAGACATATGTCCCTTTATATCCGATTCCCCATAGACAGACAAGCGGTCCGGTCTTTTCAGTGCGATGGAGGAAAAAAAACTGGTCGGACACGGATGTCACAGTAGTGACATCCGCTCCATACAGCTCTGATCAGGAGGGGACGTGCATGGATCTCCTCCTGATCAGCCCGTGTGAACGGGGACTTAGAAATGTTCAATAAATGTTATTAAACTCTTCATCAAACATAACAATATTGTTTTCATTTACATTTTGCCTATCAGTGCAGTGTGTGCTACATCGAAGATGGGCATGCCTCTGGTGATGACTGTCACAATTGCCTGTGTGCTTAAGTCAGCTTTTAAGGCCCGTTCGCACAGAGCAGGGACCTACAGTACGTTTTACCGCACCGGATCAACGCAGATCACTGCTAGGACACATAGAAAACCATTGTGTTCTACCTGCCCTGTTCACACCGCAATGCGGGTGTAATGGACGGTTCTGCTAAAAATAACAGCGTGCTGCATCTCTTTGCAGTACACTGGATGCCACGGCATGCCAGCATAGCACGCTGCACTGCTGTGTGGGGACCTGAATGGATTGTACACATTGCACACTACTAATAAAGTTTAAGAAACAAATGTAAACAATACAATGCACACTGCTGGAGCTGCCACACTGCATTAGCCCGTCATGTTTTAGCAGATGGGTTAGTGTTCCCTCAAGCCCTGATATGGATAGCCCCACAGCTGGTCAAGTGTGCAGCACCAACTGCAGATCTCAATAGAGGCTTAAATGGCGCTGTGCTCAGCAGGTAGAAGAATAGGAGGGTTTGGTTCCACTTCAAAGTGGATCTAAAGTCTAAAAAAACAAGTATTTCCTGCAGGTAGGCTTTTATTGCAGAAGAGATACAGTACGTTTGTCTTTCCTGCTGTAAAAGCATCTGTCTTACCCGCCAGTAATGTGTTTTCTGAATGTAGTGTCAGTCAGTGAGCCCCACAAATGTAGTTCAGTTTACAATCTCAGCACTTCATTGCGCATGAGAGTTTCAACAACAATCAAGATGACCGAAGAAGCAGAACCTGGAAGAAGACTTGACAAAGATATCAGCGACGGAATGATATGGAAGATTGCGGCTGTCGCATCGCTGGGGGCGCTTTGGTAGGTAAGTCTGTCATGATGTGCAACTATGCTTTGTATACTTGAACAATATGGCAGAAGTCCTGGGTGCCGCCAGCGGAGTTTAGTTCCATTTGAATTCCTGTTCTGTTCCTGTATAGGCAAAGAAATGGTTGCTGCAGCCGCTCATTAGCATTTTGTTAGACATTAGTGAAGGAAATGGAATTTATAACACACGTTGCATCTAGGAATGGCAACAATATGTGACATTGTCAGTCCTTTCTCACTCTTAGAAGCCGTACACTCTGCACATTCTTTCTATACATAACATATTCATGTCTGATGATGTTGCAGGTGATGGCAAGACAATGACCAAACCCAGGCAGAGCTCAGACAGGAACTGGGCAGCTTCCACAAACTACCACAGCCTGTATGAAGAACAGCTCCAGAGGATGAACAGCATTGGGAGACATCTTGAATCCAAGGTCAGTGATTGGCAGCAACTGTCACTAGTGAGTTGTCCTCACTTTCTCATATTCCTGGACCTTCCATTGAATTCAGCGGTCCTTCTGTTCATTTCATCTGGACCGAAGGCCCAAATTATCTGTTATCAGCGAGGTGCTCTCAACTCCAAGCGCTCTAGACTTTTTTCTACTGTGAGAGAGGTGAAGTTACAGGTGACATGAAGCTGTACATGTACATAGAAAACATGCCAGGACTTCCTAGAATTTGGTGCTTCATTACATAAAACTCAGGTTGGAGAGACTTACTGATTAGGGCAAAACCTTACTTGCCTTACTTGCCCCCTCCCATTATATGCACAGCAAGACTACCTCAATATAATCTATAGCAGCGGTCACCAACTGGTAGTCCTTGAAAAAATTTTGGTGGTCTCCGGGCCCTCCACCAGCACTGCCACTCCTGTATGTATGTGTATATATACTACTGTATGTGTGTGTGTGTGTGTGTATATATATATATATTTGACGCACGTTTTGTGGGCTGCAAATCGCGGTTAAAACATGCACCGCAAAACGCACGTCATACACGCATATTTCGAACGCCTAGGTGGGAACCCAGCCTAAAGGAGAACTATGAGGTGAGTGCTTTTCACTCACCTCATAGTTCTAGCCGACCTGTGACAATGAGACTGTCACAGGTCGGCTCAGTAGATCGGGAGGTGAGCGAACACATACCGGTGTTCGCTCACTTCTCGATCCTGTCA